GGGGGGGGGACATTAGTTATTAGCAGGGCTAATAAAGCCCAGGAAGTGTTCACTAACAAAATGTCTAGTCACTGACTAAACTGGCTGGTTTCTCAACATAGTCTGGCTCATTGTAACAATATAGAGAGCTCTTTGTTCATAGACCTTAATCTGTTGCCAAAATGTTTGTACCTTATGTTCCCATTTCACAAGGATTTCTGGTCAAAACTGTGCACCCACAGCCTCCTAATGAACCAAGTGTCCAACAAAACAAGGATTTTTGGTCTCCTTATGAAGGCCATTGTGTCTTCATAGGACCTCTCTGTCCAGGAACATCCCTAATGAGGTACGGAAAGGCACTTACTACCCAGACACAGACATTCCGCTGCTGTGAGAACCGCAGACGGAAGTTTTCTCTGCCTCCTGGAAAGGAAGCCAAGCTTTCTCCTCTCGGAAGCCATGAGGATTGCTGTCTTCCTCTGTACCATTCTTCTCTCTCTGAGCCAAGTTCCACCAGGTAACCAAATGAACTCTGCAGAGCCTTGGTAAGGGCGAAGTGCCTGGACCTCATGGGGATCCAGTGCTCAGAGCAGAAGTCTGTCACCTGTGCCCCGTGGAGGGAGATGACCTGTTGGCTGAGAGCCCTCAACCACTTACCTGCAGCCATGTCTCTTTAGTTCTCCATAGCCACTCAGATGAAATGAAATCGAGGGTGTTTCAAGTGCTTGAAACCTTATCTTCTCCGTTTCTAAAAATAAAATTAATTAGGCAAATTTACTAGCAGTTTCTAGACCTAGATAACAAACAAAACAAAAAAAATGATGTGTTATCCTACTAAACGTGGCCTCCAGAAACCCTCCGCTTATTTTCAGCAAAAGGTATGCAGAGGCCGAGTTACCCTAAGATGCTGGCATGAGAACGACACCAGAGCTGTAGGGCCCCAGGCAGAAGGGATTAGTGTGTGTGTGTGTGTGGGGGGGGTATTTGAAAGTTGTACTGTGCGTCTAAGAATTCTCCAACTTGTGCTTCCATAATGTTGGTCCTCTGGGCTTGGCTCTGCCCAGTGATGCTCCATCTCCACACTTGGCTTTTCCTCTTCCTTTTCAACATCTAGTTAAACAAAGGGATCAGAGACGACACTGCACTAGAGTGTATCTTCCTGCACTCAACATGCACAGGTGCATCCCAGGTGCGAAGCATCTGTGGGCATCTCCTTGCTTTCACCCAAGGAGATGACCAGACACCCAAGATAGACCAGGAAATTCCCTACAACTCCTGGGTGTGTAGGCTCTTGGGTGTGTAGAATAAGCAACCTATTGCTCTAGATCTAGTGGAATATCTTAGCTTTTCCTGAGAATTCAGGCCCTCAAGTGTCAGGGAGGAGTATCCAAGTAGTCAGACATGTGTAAATGTGGACAATCCTCTTATATTTTAAGTAATTGTTGGTTGCTACGCTTTCTCCTGTTTGAAAAAAGACACTTCCCCAATTTTTCAACAGAAAATATGCTTGGGGGCATGCCTATTCTTGGCGAATCCAGACTTGCCTGTCGAAATCCGTGTTTTAAAGGAATACTTACTGGGAACAGGTAGATAGTACTTTGGGTTTGGGAGGTTGTGGGTGCAGCTTGTGAGGCAAATATCAACTCGATTTTAGAACTACTCTGGAGGTTGCAGTTGGGGGAGCCTGGAGGTGGGAAAACAGTTCTATTTCTCAGGTATCTGCTAATTAAGCACCGCTGTGCACCCTTACTAGGAAGCAGCATATGAGGGAAAAAGGACGTGATGGCCCTTCACTTCCACAAAGTCACGGGCCAGCCACCTTCATTGCCAGGGAACAGACATAAAGCCCCAAACACAGCATTTGCATGTGGTGGAGGAGAGGTTTCCTACGTGGGACCTTTAGAAAATGACTAAAAGAAAGGTAAATCAAGAACAATGTGATATTTGAGAGCCCAGGTCCTGAGCCTTAGGGGACCCGACTGGGAGTCAGAACCATGGCATCTGTTTAGTGCTAAGAGTGCTTGATGCTCTCTGTCCACCTGACTCTCCCTCAGTGACAGTCTGCATGTGTGTGCACGTGTGTGCAAGTGTGTCTCTGTTTATGTGTGGAGTGTGCTGACTACCCCACACTCTATAAGGGAATGAATGGCCCCAAAAGTAAGGAAAATACCCTGAATGTTACTTGGCTTCTTACACACACAGGTAACAGTGGGTCATATTTTTATAGAGCTCCTTTGTGATTTAAAAGGAAATGTTCGGTTGTCAATTGCCACAAAACAGCACACTTACCTCCAAGATGTGTGCCATCGAAGTGACAACACATGTCTGTACCAACATGCTAAAGGATAAAAATAGCTCTACGTTAACCAAGTATTGCACAACTGTTCGCTGAATGCCTATGATGTGCTGAGACTTGAGCTGAGCTCTGGGATATACATACAGAAAAGAGTAAGGTGTTCATCACCCAGCAGTGGGGTCAGGTGGAGGCAGGACAGCAGAGTAGAATGCAAGACGTGCCCCAATAGAGGGACATCTCAGAGTGACTTCTAACATGTCGCAGGACATGGCAGTGCTTCATCCTCTCATATGCTAACCTCAGATGACCCTTCTAGGGGCAACAGGCCAGTTCTAGCCCAATTTCATTGGGGCCCATCTACACAGTAGTTGAGCTGGTTGTAGACAGAAGGAAGAGATGTGCAGCCCAGGGAATGAAAAACTCAGATTTCAAGTGATTTCTACACAGTGCTCAACAATGACAATGGTCACTGATTTAAAAACAACAATATACCCTTAAATTATTTCTGAATTCATTCTATACAGTAAAAATATGATGTTGCATATTTGATCTTCATAGCCATTAACCGATTGCTTTGTGAACACTGAAGAGATAAATTCAATGTAATGCATCTGGGTTTCAAGAGGTATTTTCTGGATGTATATAAACACTCTATAATGATTAGAAGCTATCCAAGAACTGGCCTTTGGTTCCAGAATAAGGAGACCTGGGCACGCTGGCATTGATACCTCTTACTATCATTAGCAGTCCAGGGCTGATTTAAAATGAAACCCATCCTGTGCATCAGCATGAGGAGCTACTAGGGAGTGCGAAGGGCTGGGAGAAGCTGTTGCTTCTGCCTGGAACTGCCAAAGGGGCGCAGCTCCCCAGCCTGGCCTGTTGTTACTTAGACACACCCAACGATGCCACATTCCCCCAAAATGCCAAGAATCCAAACCTTTGTGGGAAAGCAGATTTTTAAGTGTTGGCTTAAGGACTCAAACAGCAACAGCAATCAACACAACATAATTTTGAGACACGCTCCCCCTCTGTGTGCTTCAATAGACATTCAGGGAGATGACTCAATAGTTACAATAACCCTCTTCTCTGTGCAGCCGGGGGCAAATTCAAGGAGATCTGTGAGCGTCCAAACGGCTCCTGCCAAGTATTCTGCCTCGAAACAGAAGTCCAGGCTGGGAGATGTCTAAGCGGCCAGCCGTGCTGCCTGCCCATGGGACACCAATCACGGATCGACCCGACGATACCCCCTCAGGACTGAGGCCTTTCAAAGGGTCTTGCTTGTTTGGATGTTTCATTCTCTGGTTCTCCATCTCCATCTCCCACTGTCTTGTCTTTCACAGGGATTCTTGCTGAGTCCTCAATAAATAATAAAGAAGCACTCGCAAACACAGAGCCACTGTGTACACCCATGTGCTCTATTCTCGCTGCAGTGCTGTCTGGTCGCATTTTTCCATCTGGTCTGCATGAGCTCGTGGCTCAGTTCCAGGCTTCATGGGGACACTTTCATTCTCCCTACCCTTTGTGCCCAGCCCGGCCCCCTTTAGCCTTCACCAGGGGGCTGCTTTCCCCTTGGGAAGGTGCTTGACCTTGTTCCATGGGGTTCTGTCCCTGATGGAGGGCAGCCCACAGGTACCCTGCAGTCAGACCTCCCCAGTCAGTGAGCCATCATCAGAATCCTGCACCAGGGACAGAGTCACAGGTGAGAAAACACCCTGTCCTCACGCTTCCCCAAGGCAGTGAGCACTCAGGGCCTCTCCATGTGCTCCCAGCTGAGACTAGATTCATTGGGCCCCACCTTCCACTGGGCCTGGCCACAAGCTTCCCCTGCTCCCCTTCCTCCCCCCCCCCCCCTCCCGGGAACCGCAGACCCAGGGGCTTGAGGCGCAACAAGGAGTTTTGTAGTGCAGAAGTCTGACATGCATCTCAGGGCTAAATTAAGGCTCAGTGGTCCGGGCTGCATCCCTTTCTGGAGACTGTCTTGACATTAATGGGGAGTTGCTGCTGTTTGTCACCAGACACCAGGCTTCATCCATCTTTAAAGCCAGCAATGGGCATCTCTCCTCACCTAACACTCCTAACCTCCGTGATGCCACTGGCCCATCTGGGTAAGCTGGATAACCTGATGGGCATCTCTCCTTCTCACCTCCTAACACTCCTACCTCCGCTCCCCTTTGGGACCCCTGTGATGCCACTGGCCCATCTGGGTAAGCTGGATAACCTCCCTGCTTTAAGGCGATGTGATTGGCAACTTTAATTCTACCTTCAACTCCTCGGCTGTGTCAGGTGACATAGCCACAGTTCCAGGGATGAGAATATGGCCTTCTTTGCCAGAGGAGGTGTGACACTATTTTACCTACAATAGCCACTGACGGCTTTCCCCACACATCAGTCACCCATTGGGTCCACTCTGAGATGGTTTTAGTTACTTTGTATAGAGAAACCATCATTGTTAGAGTTTTCTTTTGGGTGAAAAGTCATAGAGCCTCCCTTGGTCATGGGAAGAGGATAGAATCAATGCATATTTTTTTCTTCTGTCTTCAGAAGTTAGCCATCTTTTAGTTTGTGCCCTTTGACCATCATCTCTCCAATTCCTACCACCCCCACCCTCACCCATCCCCTTGCTCTCCTCTCTGTTACTATGAGTGCCACTGTTTTAGATCCTGCATGTACGATCACACAGTATTTATCTTTCTGGGTCTGAATTAGTTCACCTAGTATAATGTAAAGTACAGCCTAGGGAATCTTTCTATATAAAACCCTTATAATGCAAATAGACTGAACGGTGAAACAACCAAACAACCGGTCGCTATAACATGTGCTGACCACCAGGAGGCGCATGCGGAACATGGCAGGCATTGGCAACAGGCCGGCAGAGTGTGAAACATGGTGGGCATTGGCTGCGGTGAGATGGTGGAGTAGGTGAGCGGGGGTGCCAGACCAAGGTGGCTGTCATGGGGCGAGCCTCTGGTGGATACTGAAAATTCCTTGCTCCTGCATGCCAGGGTCCTGCCCGGCACCTGTCCAGGACTTCTCCACCTCCCTCTGCTCCTGAGGGGCATTTGGGGCAGCAGCCACTGCTTGCATCTGCTGCTGGCGCTGGCCCCAGTCACTTTGCACTGTTAGTGGCTGTAAGCGGGGCCAGCACCTTCAGTGCATGGGAGTGGCAGTGGTGGGAGTGGGGCTGCCAGTAGACGGGACCAGGGGCCATAGGGGGAGGGCACCAGGGATGGGCTGAGACCTGCCCCTGTGCCCCCTGCAGCCTCACGGCTCACAGTTCCCTTCAAGGTGCACGAATTTCTGCACTGGGCCCCTAGTATAGTTCATAATATTGCATAACTATGGATGATGCCAGGTGGGTACTGGACTTATGGAGGGGTCACTTGGTACGTTATATAAATGTCAAATCATTCTGCTGTGCATCTGAAACTAATATAATATTGTATGTCAATATTGTAATTGAGAAGTTAGAAAAAAAACCACTAAGAAAAAAAGAGAATTTGCTATATCTCTCCAGCCAGAACATGGCCTTCCAGAGTAACCCTAGCTCCCACCCCCATAACTTCCTGTACCTCTGCAGCTTGGAGGAGGTCCAGTCATGCAGAAAAACCTACACTGTTCTCCCTCTCACTCCCAAGTATAAATCAACAGGCACCATTTCTGAGGCAGGAAAGCATTCTGTCTGGCTTGGCTCCTGACCCATGCCTATAACCTAAACTATCCCCAGGTTCATTCAAGTCAGCTGCAACCTGATGGCCTTAGAGCCAAACCTAAGCCCTAAGAATTGTCCAAATAACTAGAAACAAGCAAACAAAGGAACTCTGCAGGAGGATTTAGATGCTGTAAACCACAGTTCTCAACTGGAGATGCTTTTGCTCTAGCACCTAATTGGTAATGTCTGGAGACACTTTTGGTTGTAACAACCAGGAGGGTGCTAGTGGCATCTGTGGGCTGAGGCCACGGATGCTACCAACAACCCTACAATGTGCAGGCATGACCTTTAGGCACAACTATCTGCTCCAAGTGTCCACAGTGCTGAGGTTGAAAAACTCTGCTCCAGGCGGTGACATACAAGAAGCAACAGAAGGGGACAGATGCCTGGCCTCAAGGGCACCTCTCCTAGGAAACCCATGTCTCTTCTGCACCCATCCTCCTGCCTCTACTCCCCAAACACTGCACCTTAACTCAGGGGCAGGCCGCATCTGACAGCCACTCTTGGACATTCTAGCATCTTGGTTGATGTTGTCATCCTTACATACTGTTTCTCTTTTGTTTTTGCTTCTCCCCCCTTTTCAGGGGGTAACACACATCTGGGCCAATTAGCAACAGATCCAACTGCCCAAAAGAATCTGACTTAGTTCTTCCCCAGGTCCAGACCAACTCATGAAACTGTTTCCGTGGGCTACTTCAAACCTGCCAAAGAAATCCCAAATGAGCTTGCAACCTACGCATGTAGAACATTTGAGTGTCAAAAATAATTAAGACCAACTAAGACATTGCTTCCACTGTGTCACTTTGTCCTTCTTCTACACCATGCTCCTTGGTGACATGGGGACCAGGACCCTGCATTTATTTCCCAGACTCCTTGGCCGAGTGGCTGGGAGAGCTTGGATTCTGGAGACGAGAGAAGGGCCTTCCTTCCTCATTTTTATTCCTGTCGCCATTGTTACAGCAGTGACTGCTCACTACAGCCACCACAGTTGGCTCCTGTCCACCTTCTCATGGTGCTCTACAACTCATCTCATGTCTTCCAAAAGGTCTCTTCCCAGAGCGCCAGAGGCACTGACAGCAGTTGGGAAGGTGGCCTCCGGGGGAGCCCTCCCAGACAGCATGGAGGGCTGGATGCTGCCACCTGCTGTTGTCTCCGCACTCCCTAACCGCTAACCCTAACCTCAACACCTGTGCAACAATCCTGGCTTAAATCCCCTCTGTTCTGACCAATCCAGCTGATACCCCTCTGCTTCTCCTGTGGCTGCTGCTCACACAATGACTACATCATACCGCTGTGTGTAGGACACACAGCTCTAGTTACCTGTTGAACAGGTGGTGAGGAGCATTGTAGACTGGAATGCACCACTCACAGCTGATAGAGTGGGTAGGTGTTAAATACATGAAGACAGACTCTAGAGGATCTACTAGTAAAACAATAAACAGGCCAAATTTGGAAGACAGGTTCTACTCTAAACATCATACATGTGACATATAATTCAATTTCTATTTTCTCCAGAGCATAAGAACAGACTACATATTTCTTCTAAGACCCTCAATAATTCTAGGTGGAAAGAGCACAGACAGGCATATTTGATCCTAAAGCAATGCAAATGGAATTTAATTACAAATAATAAAATATTTCAAAAACATTCTTAATAATTAGAAAGGAAATGATAAAGAAACTACTCCTGATACTGATGTGCTGATCTTATATATTTAAATATATAGATATATAAGATAATCTAAAGTAACTCCTACCAAATAGGTAGGGTTATTATGTTAGACAATATAAAATAGAAAATTTTATTCAACTTGTGTAATTCTGACAATGACTGTGCTCTACAGTGTATCTATTTAAGCATAATTTTCACATTTCTCTCTCCTTTAATAACAAAAGATCATCATCCCCCTACACCACCACCCCCCCACACTTACAAACTGAAAATTATTTTAGGGAAAAACAGAGGCTGAGAAATGAACTCATACAGATTGAGCATTAACCTAAAAGAGACAGAAATTCAAAAGAATTTGTTTTAACAATAAAGACTGAGATAGAACATACGTTTTCTTTATACATATGAATAAATTTGCCTTGATAAAAAATGCTTTAAAACATCTATCAGCACATTGCATAATAATGAAATAGAAGAGGTTAGTTTTAAAATAAGAATTTCCTATTAGATACCATTATTTAAAATTGTTCCAGAAATTCTAGGTCCCAAAATTAGTCAATAGAAGGGAACAAAAAGAAGTAAAAGCTAAAATTGAAAAATATTTTTCAATTATTTGATAAGCTATTTTGTTTTTAATCCTCACTTGAGGATATATTTTTATTGATTTTTAGAGAGAGTGGAAAGGAGAGAGAGAGAGAGAGAGAGAGAGAGAGTTCTAACCAGAAACCTGGCTAGGGCTGACATTGCTATTTTTTAACAATGGAAAAATATCACTGAAAATCTTTATGACCCTCAGAGTGGCAGCTTCTGACTTGGGCCCCAAGAATCGCCATCTCCAGTCTTCTTGCCCTGTATCATGCCCTCCCCTGGACTGTGGGGTGGACCTAGTGGCTTGCTTCTAATGAACAGCATATGGCAACAGTGATAATCTATCTCTGACCTGTGACTGAGCTTTAAAAGACTGAGATTTCCGTGCTTCTCACACTCCTCCCTTTCCCGTTTGCTCTGAACCATCCAGCTTCCATGCTGGGAGATGCTCCATGGAG